TATTAGACTCTACATTTATTTAAATGGACATTAGTTAATGTCATAAACCTGCAAGAAGACTGCTCAGGAGTAATTTAAAATAGATGAGCATTCCAGTCATTGCTATTGAGGTTAACAAGACTACTCCTTTGTTAGATTTACTTAGTGTGTGTTTGCAAGACAAGGCTTTAATTTTAATGTTCTCAGTGAAGTCCATTGGATTTCACCTGAACCATCAGCACAAAAATTAAAACTAAGAGCTGATGGGAGCCTTTTTTGGCACGACCTGCAAGTGCTTATACTTCTTTTCAAATAGGCAATGCTAGTGATATGAAAGGGACCAGCAGTTTGAGGGAAGACTGATGACATGAGTGAACTCACTGTTGAAAAATGTTCAGTGAAACATACTATTTTTTCTTACTGCTGTCCTGGTTTTGGCTGGGATAGAGTTAATTTTCTTCCTAGTAGCTGGCATAGTGCTGTGTTTTGGATTTAGGATGAGAAGAGTGTTGATAAACACTGATGTTTTAGTTGTTGCTCAGTAGTGCTGACACTGGTCAAGGACCTTTTATTTTTTCAGCTTCCCCTGCTCTGCCAGGGGCACAAGAAGCTGGGAGGGGGCACAGCCAGGACAGCTGACCCCAACTGGCCAAAAGGGTATTCCAGACCACACGAGATCAGGCTCAGTATATAAAGTGGGGGGAGTTGGCCAGGGGGCAGCAATTGCTGCTTGAGGACAAGCTGGGCATCGGTTAGCAAGTGGTGAGCAATTGCATTGTGCCTCACTTATTTTGTATATTCTGTATATTCTCTTACCATTATTATTTTTTTTCTCTGCTTTTTTATTAAACTGTCTTTCTCTCAACCTACGGGTTTTACTTTTTTTCCTGATTCTCTCCTCCATCCCACTGAGGGAGGGGTAGAGTGAGCAAGCGGCTGTGTTGTTCAGCTGCCTGAGGGGTGAAGCCACAGCAACTGCTTCAGGTGCTTTTGCATTTCTGTCTTTTCCCTGGTAATTTATTTTTTGTTTTTGCTGTCTTTATGTCTTACATTTTTTTACGGCCCGTTACATTCTTCAGGGATCTTTTAGAGCTGTGTTTCCGATGGCCTGTTGTTTTCTGGGCTTACTGGACTTAAATTTCTTTTGGTTCCATTTGAGACTGCATTTTGGAACCCTCAAGATTTTCATCTCATTATTAATGCAGTCACTTGTATTGGAAAAATATCCAGTGTTTGCAACAAGATCAATTATGGCTGTTTAGACACTTCTTCAACTCAAACTTTCCATCTCTTGTTGACCTTACAAAGTGTCTGTGAAACCTACTCCCATTGAAGAGAGAATTTTAGAACAAGTAGATTTTGATCCCTGTGCCTCAAGATCTGGACTTTGAAAGCAAATTACTGATGGTACAAGTACTCCCCCAAAAGACTGGCAGGCCTCCTGGCATCCATTTTTTTAGGAAGTGGTGCCCCTTTTTACCCTAGTCTCTTAAGGATTTCCTTGAGATGGGGATGCAAGTGCAGAATACTGCTGAATGATGTGCTGGGAAACTATTGCTCTCTTTCTAAATTTTTTTTTTGTGTGTGTATATATATATATATATATATAGTATATATGTCTTACACAATCATATATTTGTAGGTATTTGCAATTTGAAGCAGATAACATTGATAGTTTTGGTCAGTTTAAAATATTCTATATGAGGAACAGCTAGATGGGCACTGGGTAAAAAGGAGGCAGTGGAGTACTGTAAGGTGGAAATTGCAGTAGATAGGGACACCGTGCTATTTCTCGAGACACCATGCTTTTTGCATTTGTGTCTTTTGGAGAGCTGGGGATTTTTATCTGAAATTGTTAGTATGTAAGTATCTGGAATTAATATCATATGGTGATAGAAAGTATTCTGATATGAAATCCATTGTGCATTGAGGGGTGCCTACCACAAGGAGGAGTGTAAACAGAGCGCAGCTGCTCTGCTACTGAAATCTATTGAATTCAGAGGACCACACAGAGCTTGTATGGAAGGCCTTGTAAAATCTGCATGGCAAGTCAGAATATACAGGCTGCAGCTCCACTGGTCCCCTCCAGCAGCTGGCAAAGCATTTCCACCCATCTTAATTCTCCTTTGCTCCCCCTCTGTACCTTCATAAAAATTACCTCCATCTTCCTTGCAATGGTGTGATTATTAGCTGGCTCCCAAACATCCATATGTTGAGCAGTCTTGCTTTACAACTTTTTCATCTGTAGAAGTAGCTACTTCTCATTCATATGAATTTCCTTTCAATTTCTGAAATATGCCTATCTAGCCCTTAAGGCCAGACTTCTGCAAATAGGTATGTAATATATTCCTCACACTTTGCAATGTTCTTTCAAATTCCCCATTTCTCAAAGCATTTCTTATTAATTGCTGAGCTAACTGTGAATTTCAGTCTCTGTGTTCTCCCATACTACCTTTCTTTACACATTTTTTTTCTATTTCTTCATTTTTTTCCATTTCTTTCAGGGCCAAGGTTTGTCCTTACTGGGTTTAACTGCTTGCCCCACTTCATGCCTTATTTTATTGTCCTTGGTCAAGTCATTTAATCTCTTTTTGTTTCAATTCCCTATCCATAAAGTCAGGCTAAAACTACTTTCTGAGTCACAGTAAGAGCATCGTCATGAGTTCATTAAAGATGAGGACAGCTAAGACCCTATGGTTGGATGAGTACTTGTCACTGATAAAGGACTCTGCTTTTCTCCACGAGTTTCTCACCAAGGTAATGCTAAGCCATTCCAGCTTCTTACTCACTTCCTAGTGATACTGGGAATAAGGAAGATTTGGATGGTTCATGGTTCTCGCAACAGAAACTGTGAAGGTTGTGTACTCAGCCTTTCTGATACTCCTGTCACCAAGCTATAGCATAAGACAAGTAGTCTATGACCAAGACATACTGGTCATTTTATGCATAAACTCTGATCTTGGATAACAGTCAACTTAGGTAACTAATACAGTGGCCACCACAAGAACCTGATGCAGAGTGAGGACAATCACATAATTCTTTTGCACTCTTTGGTTGATTTCCAGCGGGGAGGTCTCCTGTCAGGCCAAGAACTGGGAACACCAATTTCAGTGAAGTTACTCCTTAAGAGCTCTCTTGCACATGTGGTCAGACTCTGTCCTGGCTGTGGCTGTGGAAATCCAGAGCAGGTTTTCTGAAATTGGCCATTACACAGGTCTAAACTGAGTACAGAATTTGACTGTGTTTCTTTGTCTAACAGGAGTATTTCCTCTAGGGGCTACACCTTCGTGAGGAAATAAAAACCTAAATACTTCCTTGTAGGTTTCTCAACAAGACTTTCTACTCCGAACAGATTTCCTTATGTGTCCCTAGAGGCCTTTAAACAATTTTTTTTTAACCTTCTATACTATAATATTGTGCATAGCCAAGACTCCCTT